CTTTCCGTATACTTTGGTTAGCATAACATATATGGACCTCACGAAGCCTTCCATGCCCGATACGCAAATATAAGCCATGACAAATCTAGTGCCTTTGAGGGTCTGCAATTACTTTGTGTGGAAATTATCGAATGTAGTCACCTTTTAAAGGTTTGCTTTCATGGAGATATATAATCTTTGAATATATTCGTTCATATCAGTTAAATGTACTCATCGATCGAGCTTGACCTTTTGAGGATATATAGCCATAAATTTGTAAAACAATATGTTGGAAATTTGTTAAAGGGACAAAATTAAACTTGATTTATGTTGACTATTTTGATTTCTGTTGACTATTTTATTGTAGAGACTAGAGATGACCTACCCTTATTATTTTATTATAGAAATATATAATTTCTCCGTTCTATTAATATTGCAACAATAGACTTTTTGCACTATTCATCACTTTTGTTTGACCATATAATATGAGTTATACGTTAAGCAACATATAGTCAAGTGGGATCTTGTTGGATTCGTCTCATATAATACTTACACAATATCAACTTTTTATAATTTTTATTCTTACATAATTATAGATATTTAGCATATAAAATGTGTTTTGGGATGCGTAATTTTCTCCTTGTTGCAATATTAACAGAACGGAGAAAGTATGTCTTAGTATTCTCGTTATTAATGTAATATGGAACGACTATACATGAAACTAAATTGTTTTTGGATTTTAATGAACATGTTTGAACAATTTGATACCATAATAATAAGGTGCTTTTTTTTTATGATTTCTTGAGTATTGGTATAATAATGACTTTTTAGTTTTTTTAAAACGTTTGTATATGGATGAAGGTAGAGCTAGATAAAAATTGAGCATGGCTCGGGAATCATCTAGTTTAATTATAATGGCATTTCTGCCTCTTTTTCAAACTCCTAATTAATAGTTGCCTTTCCATTTCCATTTCATCTTTAGACAGTGCAATTGACACATAACACAAAAGTTGAAGATAATAATTCCATTCATGTCACAAATCACAATTCATTTGATTAAGTATCATCTTCATTATTGTTTGTTTTCACTGAAGCTGATAGACAACGACGTCGACACGGCATGTGCCATTGCACAAATAAGCTAGGCCATCTCAAAGGAGCTTCAAAATTGTGATTTTAGGGACCTCCAAAATTTCTTAAAAAATTAACACCAAACCTCTTAAATATTATGTCTCCAAATTTTTGCTCTTTAAGCCTTTTAGATCAGATAGACATTTCACATGCAATTCCCCTAGCAATCAAGCATGAATCACATTTTAATAGAATGTACTTATATTGAAATTGAGTTATTTTTCAATTTTACGCACTCGTTCATTATATTTTCATAGTGTCGCCATTTTACTATTTAAACAATCTTGCAAGGAAATAAGTAGTTTTTTTTACTTGTGCATTGTAGCATAAAGCAACAAGGTATGGTACGCCTTTGTTCTTTTACTGTCTAGTGGATTTGTGGACGTAATGGTCAAAGTTATGTATTGACATGTGTGTCAGTCAAAGTGTTGCGATTATTATAAAACAAAGGGAGTGAGTAATACCTTTGTATACTCTATATATATTTTGTTTTGTGATATAAAGACAAACAGGTTATTCATGGTTAAAACATCAACTTCTAACAATCTTATCTCAATAATCTCATATTTTTGTTCATACTACCAAATATCAATTACCACCCATATGAGCATCTATTGTACTTATAGTTACTTCTTGTCCTCATCTCTTCAATTTTAATTGCCATTAAATTCCACAACTAGTCAACTACAACACTCCAAATTGGGAAGTATAGTGAGTACGTCGTCTCTATCTATCGTAGGTGATGGAGTGCACTACCAATTTATTGATATTGTACAAAGGAAATTGATAGTGGACAATGGGTGATTACCCTTAATTAGTTAGTCCTACATTTGTAAAAGTGTGCCATTTAGTGACACAACTTTTGCTATCATGACATCCTCATGGAAGAAACATTAAGCAAAATTAATGTGTTAGTGATGAAAATGAAGGATTTTGATGGATTATGAGAGGAATTTTTTGTATACACTATCAATAATCTAGTAAGAATGGTTGTGGAATTGTATCCGCCGTGGTAAGAATGGGGATGGAGTTTGGACCCGTGGATGGAGATGAAATTATGTGTTGGGGATAGAAAGACCAACATTCACCCCACACTGTCTCATTGACATTGCTAATTATTTGTTGATATTACCCATATTTAAATCATAGGATATATATCCTAATTTATAGGTAATACATTGAGAAGGTCCATCCGAAAAGGGAAAAATTTATAAGAAATCTATCTTAGAATAGGCTTGGTGAGATTCGACCCTTAACCTCACGTCTGAAAGTCAAAAAAGTAGTAATTACTCCAATCTCCTATCTCATACGTAGATATTGAATTGATAGGGACACCAATATACAACTGTATATTGGATAGCAAAGTTTGGTATTGTATCATATCATCCAGAGTGTTCTAAGCTTCTAACACTATGTCGTCGTATTCTATCCAACTTATTACTTATTAGCATGCAGAAAACAGGACGACAAATTAATTAATGGGCAAAGAAAGGGCATACTATTCAATATCATTTTCTAAGTTTAAGGGTCTGATCTCTTCAGTTCAGTTTAGTTCTTAATTTCCTTCTCTCATAAAATATTCAGTTCACTTCAGCTCCAATAAATTTAGTTCAGTTCAATTCAGTTCAGCCAATTAGAACAAGCCCTTAAGTGTGTATACAAATCAAATAGGCTGAAAAGTGGGTTTTTAATTTAGGAACAGTGCTAATTTTTAAACATGAAATCCAATAATAACATTGTAATTATCAACTTCTCTGTTTAATTCTCAATTCCAATAATATCCTTTCCAAATTAATTGATGTACAATCTTTATTGTTCATCTGATTTTTTCATTTGTATTGGTTTGTCCCAAATTAAGTGTCACATGTTAGACAAACTTTTAAATAAATCGAATATTGTACATCTGTTATAATGTTAATATCAAATGAGCAAAACTTATCCTAATAAGAATAAAAGTTACCTTGATATAAATAAAAATTATAAAATATTTATATATTTACTAGATGAAGTCCGTGCGATGCACGGTTTGTTTGATTTTTTTTAAATAATTTTTTTTTTGTATTTATGAGCCTAAAATTTGTTATATATTTAGATAAAATTCCTAGTATTAAAAGATAATATATAATATTTTATTAATTTAAACTTAAAAATCTCATTCGCCAATTTTGCTTACAAGGCATTTAAATTATTTAATTCTAAAAGAAATTAATAATCTCTTATTTAATTGGCTACTACTAAGATTTATAATCCTACATGGCGCGCTGAGAAAATTAGATCCTACGTGGCTCTCTAAAAACTCGGGAAAAAACTCCCCTTTATATATATACTAGTTTTGTGCCCGTGCGATGCCCAGGTTGTTTATTGAATTTAAAGATAAAATTTTTAATCTATATGTCAAATTATAAAATATACCATTGATACAAATTAGTTTATTGATGTATTTTTGTGACGATTTACTATCTAGTAGGCATATAATGACTAATACTAATATTGGTGGAAATGTTCGATTTAATACTTTAAGAAAATAAACATATAATAAATTAAATAAGATAAATGCTCAAAGCCCGTTGGGTTGACCCGAACCCAAAACTTTGGGCAAGGGTTGAACATTTCTCGTAACCTAAAGTAACCCAATCCGAGATGACTCATGACTCAACCCTAATTGACAGGTCTATGTAGTAATAAAATTCTATTAGTTGTGAAGTATATTATTTTAACCGATTAGTATATATTATAAATAGATGTTTTACACTTTAAACTAATTCCTTCGCTCCAAAAAAAATTATGTCATAAAAAAAAATTAATTTATATGATAATTTTTAAGAATTATAATCTAATAATTTTTTTAGATAAATTATAATTCAATTTGTATCTCTGAAATATTGGTCTTTTATCGAAAATAAAATTCTAAACTTTAAATTTTATCCCAAAATTCTATATTTTTTCTTATCTTATGAAGTTTATTTAAATCACTCCAACGTGGCGCGACACCTGGCGAAAAGTTGGAACGCCAAGTGTCGCAACGTCGTGACCTGGCTAAAAGTTTAGTTTTATGTATTAGTTATATGATATATATTAGATTAGATTGATAAAAGTTACCCAAAAATTGTAAAAGCGACCCTATTTATTTATTTTTTTTTTTTTTAATATAGTGTACATCCAGTGTACAGTAGTGTAAAAAAAAAAAAGGTGTGTCACCACGTATTGAAAATAAAATACTCCATATGGTAAAGTTTCAGTTTGATTAAATGCATGCGATGGATAAGATGTACGTAGTGTATAGATCAAAGCGTAAACATTAGTGCATGATCTGATTACAAAAAATAATGTCGAAGATACTAGCATAATAATATTTGATACCAAATTACCAAGAGATATATTGATGATATCTCTAATACTTACCATTTCTATATTTGAAATGTGGATTGATCACATATTAAAAAAATAAATAAAATTGATACATTTATTAACTGTACATTATTTCCACCCATCTAATCCTACCAATTTAAACTATCCTTAAAGTGTGTTTTTTTCACCTAATTTTTCGCTAATTCTAAACCTGTGAAACTTACTCCGTATTTGATTTTATCTTAACTAACATGACTTATGAGCTTTTTTTAGCAATTATTAAACTTATTAGCTGTATATTAAATTTTGATAACCCTTGTTAACTCTAAACTAAGCTAAACTTATGTGACTTTTCAATCTGAATATCTCAGAACTTATTAATCCTTATCAAAATTTATTTTTCCTCCGTTTCATAATGTCTTTACGTGTCTTAAAAATGTATGTTAAGGACAATTTTTTTTCCATTTTTAATCTTTTGTACATTGTATAGCTTCTCTTTAATTTACATCTTGCACAAAGATTTCCTAATTAGGGTTGCATCCATTATTCATTATCTTTCTTCCACAATTTTATATCAATAATGTTCTTTAACTCCTTTCTATATAAAGGGGCCATCACTATAGTCCATCCATCCATATACATAATAAACAAAAACATTAATAATAATTCTCCTAGAAAACAATACACCATATTTTCTCATCTTTTCTAGCTTAAGCCCATAATATTACTCCTTTTTACCAACAATGGAGTACCTTGAAATCTTTCTAGTACTCCTCTCCATGCTTCTCTTTGTCAACCTCTATCGAAACAACATCGGGCTCCCGACGAATTGGCCTATAGTTGGGATGCTTCCGGCACTCCTCATAAACGTACATCGAATTCATGACTATTTCATTGAGATCATGCTAAAATCTCAATTGACCTTTTTTCTTAAGGGTCCTTGGTTCACCAACATGTACTTGCTTGCTACCGTTGACCCGGTCAACGTTCACTATATTATGAGCAAGAACTTTGGGAATTATCCAAAGGGTCCTAAGTTAAATGCAATTCTTGATGTACTAGGAGATGGAATTTTTAACACGGATTTTATGGTTTGGCAATATCATCGAAAAATGGCTCATTCTTTCCTTGGTCATCCAAATTTCCATCATTTTTTGGTCAAGAAAACATGGGATAAGGTGGAAAATGGACTTATCTCGGTCCTTGATCATGTGTCCGAGCGTTCTAAGGAGGTCGATTTGCAAGATTTGTTTTCAAGGTTCACGTTCGATACAATATGTACCATCATTATGGACCATGATCCAAGGTCTCTATCCGTCGATTTGCCTAGGGTTCCATCCTCGAAGGCCTTGGACGATGTTGAGGAAGTGATTTTCTATCGACATGTCGTGCCATCTTGTGTTTGGAAGTTCTTAAGGTGGTTGGATGTTGGAGAAGAGAAGAAGCATAGGAAGGCTTGGGAAACTCTTGATGATTTCATCTATAAATGTATAGCTATTAAAAGAGAAGAATTGAGTAAGGAGCAATTTTCCAAGGAAAAGGAAGACAATATTGAGGTGAGTAACGATCTATTAACGCTATATATTAAACAGGATGAGAATCACAAGACTCCACTTGATAATCAAGGCGATAAATTCTTAAGGGATACAATTTTGAACTTTTTTGTAGCTGGACGTGACACAACTAGTGCCACGTTAACTTGGTTCTTTTACCTCCTTTCACAGCACCCACGTGTTGCTTCTAAGGTTAAAAAAGAATTAGATGGTGTACTAATAAATAGGACAAACTTTAAAGAGGTGAGTGGCAAGTTAGTGTATCTTCATAGCGCATTATGTGAAACTTTACGATTATACCCTCCAGTAGTGTTCGAGGCCAAGTCCCCTCTTGAGCCGGACATATTGCCAAGCGGTCACCCCGTGAATCCAAACATGGAAATTATATTCAATATGTACGCGATGGGAAGGATGAAATCTATATGGAGAGACGATTGTTACGAGTTTAAGCCGGAGAGATGGATAACGGAACAAGGGAAGGTTAGACATGAGCCATCGTACAAGTTTTTAGCCTTCAACGCTGGGCCAAGAACTTGTCTAGGGAAAGAAATGGCCTTCACACAAATGAAGATTATCGCGGCTACTATAATCCAAAACTATGACATTGAACCGGTAAAAGAACATCTTGTTGTTCCTAATCTCTCTATAATCCTTCACATGAAGTATGGGTTTAAGGTTAAGATACTTCGTTCTCAGTAATTAGTAAACCTAATTAGTAGTAATCACTGAATAATTGTGTAGATTTTGTTGTTAATGATATTTGAGTGTGTCTAATTTGTGGTTTTGCTTGAATAAATAAAGTTAGGTATGTAATTAAACAAGCTACGTTAATGTGAAGTTACACTAGCCCTACATTGTCTTATTGTACGCAGAATTTATTGCGTTATATGTGGTATCACATGCAAATCGTTTGGTACTTTCTTCCTAAAGATAGCATCCTCCTTAACATTTTATGTTTCTAAAGTCTCAACCATATAACGATTTAATAATCTTTAAAATTAGAGTTTTAATTTTCAACACTACTTAGTATTATACTGCATACTAGTATATAATTCTGAAGACAACATACATAAAAAGAGCTGAAATTTAAATTTAAATATTAATTATATTCATTAATATATGATTTTGTCATACACCTCTAATTAATCGAAATACCTACTTATATTGATCAGTAAAATGTATTTTACGTTGCATTAAAGGTCGCATATCATTACTCTAAAAATTAATAGTAATAAGGTAAAAACTGATATGAATATATATATAAATATGATGTCACAAGCACGGCTTATTATATAAGTCAGGCCATTATTATCATATATATTGAAAATTTGGAAATCGATTATATTTTAAATATTTCACATATATAATAGTACTATTGTAATTACTATAAGGTCAAATTTGCGTGATGGTAAACACATCTGGTCAAACCATGTTAGTTATTTTAAAATAAAAAAAAATTAATATGGTCAACTAAATAATAGAAATAAATTAGAGTTGGACATGGGTTAGGCCGACACGAGGATCGGTTAGACATGACACGAAAATGATTCAACTCAGCACAAAAGGTACACTAGTGAGTCATGGCTCATGGGTGGGTTGTGCATCAAATTTCTTTTTTTAAGTCTGGCATAAATAAGATAGATCAACCTGCATGCAAGTTCTCTATGGTTTGATAAGCTAATACAACACAAGTCCGATGCAACATGATTCCTTTCTTAACTCTATTAAAGTACAACTCATTTAAACACGAGACACGCTGACATGACACGTGAGCTTGGATTGATCGGCCCGTGTCCAATCGAGAATACTAGACCAAAGGAAGCAAACGTGGTTAGTTAAGAGCTATAGAAATCAAAAGGCCAAAAGGAAACAAAAATGGATCAAATTCTACCCAAAAAAAACTTCCTATCTCTCACTCCTCATTTCTACTATTTCAGCTTTAATGGCGTTTTCTGGTATCTCAATCCTCCCTAAATTCCATCATCTCCCATTTTCAACTAAGTTTTTCCCTCAAAATTCTCAATCAAATTCAAATAAATCTTCAATTTTGGCGCGAATTTCCAACGGTCAGCCACCTTCTTCCACCAACGGTCTCCCTTCTTCCATTTCAGGTTTTTCTCAATCTCTTTTAGTTGATTCAATTCGAAAATTTTCATTTGCTATTTCTTGATTTTGGTTTAATTCATCATAATTTATGCATTAGACTTGTTAATTATAGTTGTGATACTATATTCCGGCCAAATTATGGTTTGCGTTTATTTGATAAATTATTTCCAGTTCTTAAGTAGTAACCCTTGATTTCGATAGAAATTTGCGATTAGGGTTTCGATTATATTGCTTTTTCAAATGTTGGATTTTCTAGTAGAATTATGTTGACATGATGAAATTAGGGATGTTAAATTGTGAATGTGGTATAAAACTGTTAGTAATTTGGTATCAGATTAGGTCTTGCAATATGGTATCCGGGGCAATCCTAAGGGATGACATGTAAATTATGAGGGTTGTTTTGGCAAAGGTATGCTGGATCCTAAGAGGTTAAATTAGGTCTTACTTAGCGTTGTCATTCGAGCTATATGCAATGACCTTGTCATCTTAGGCAACCTTTTCTTTGCTCTATGGAGTATTGGACTATGCCACTATACTAGAATGCTTGGGCATTAAGTGTTGTGGGAAGATTTTTGGCACTCGAGAAGGTAGCCTTTTTGTTTCTCCTGTGTTTTCATATTAACTTTCATATAAAAGTATAGGACATGAGTTAAAATCCTAATGATGGGATGTCGAGAAAGGAATCCAATTAGATTTCATGTAAGACTTATATGACTAAGGAGCAAACCGTCGGATTAACAATAGGCATTGCTTTTCCTTGCATTTGTTCTTGTCTTACATGGTAAGGGCAAAATGATTTAATTGGAAACACCTTAAATGTTCCCTTCATTCATCCCTATGTTTACAACTATATTTGTGATGAGGGGGTTGTGTCATTTCTCAAACAAAAGAAATCATGAACTCCTTCTAAAAGACATGCTTTAGGATTGCAATTCAATGTAGAGGCAATCTGAATAATATTTTCCTACTTGCACATCTTGCAGGCAGACCTGAGGCTGATGTAGTAGTCATTGGGAGTGGCATCGGAGGACTATGTTGTGCTGGACTTTTAGCAAGATATGAGCAAGATGTTCTCGTGTTAGAAAGTCATGACCAACCTGGGGGTGCTGCTCATGCATTTGAAGTTAAAGACTATAAATTTGACTCTGGACCTTCTCTGTTTTCTGGATTTCAATCAAGAGGTCCTCAGGCAAATCCACTTGCACAAGTAATTTTCTTCAGTCCCTTTAACTTTACTCTTGTGTTTTGTTTAAATGTTTCTAGATCCTTGATCTTAGTATTATACTCTGTTTGGCAAGATGAAACTAGCTTGATAGATCCAAGTGAATCACTAAATTGATTTATTAAGTAACAACTATACTTAATCTAGAACCACAAGAAGTGAATGAGCAATACATATTTGTCAAGGATATTTACTAACATACCTTCATATCAAGAAAAAAATTGAAATTATATGCAGAATATCTTATAGCTTCCTTGAACTCTACTAATTTCCTTCTTGCAGGTGTTGGATGCCCTTGGTGAAACAATACCCTGTGCAAAGTATGATTCATGGATGGTTTATTTACCTGAAGCAGAATTTTTGTCACGAATTGGACCCACAGAATTTTTGAAGGTGATTCCATAATTGCTAGTTTGTTCTTTGATTTTCTTGCTTAACTTTTTTTAGAATATATTTGTATTCTAATATTGTATTCTGTTATAGATTTAATTATGTTGTGAGGGAGGGTATTAGAATATATCATGAAACAGAAATTTGAGTGTTATTTATGGGGAGGAAGAGTGAATCTGCTCTGTTTGGTGCACTTACTCTATAAATATTGTAGCCAAGCTATATCTACAAAGCCTTTCTCTGCCAAATTAACTCATAAAGGCGTAGTGTTATTTATTTCCTAAGAATTGTACTAATTTGGTTTGACCAGTAAAGAAGTATGGGATTCCCTTAGTTTACAAAATATGTACCTATTTACTGGTGTCTTGGTTAAAGAGCTCAAAATTTGACCACGGATTCTAACCAATATGCAAGGAAAAAAAATATATATATAGTCATTTCAGGTCTTGTTAAAATCTTCTTGATATTTAGTTTCCAATAAGTAACCTTTTGTTATTTTGATAATACGGAATTAAAAATATTAACGATTAAAGAAGAGCATCCAAAAGTGAGAAAAATAAGTTGGGTACATCAAATGAAAAAAGAGGGAGCAGAAGAAACTAAAGTGAAATGAAACGATAGGAGAATCAGCAAATTACTATTTGTTAGCTAGGTAGACAGATGACTTTGGCCGCACTTCCATTCTTCAGATAGATAGTTAGACATTCATTCTATAGTCTAAAAAGTATCTCTTGGCACATATTGTTTGACATTTAAGTGTGATTATATTTTAGCTTTAATTTTACCAAGTGCACTTATTCCAGTTCTAACCCAACAAAGTAGATTTACAGGATCTTGAGAAGTATGCAAGTGCCAATGCAGTGCAAGAGTGGAAAAAGCTTCTTGTGAGTACCACTATCCTCTCTTTTCTTATGTTTGAACATTTAGGGGGGCGTCAAGATCCAAAGGGTCTCTGTTGTGTCTTGAAGTATGCTATTTTTCTCAGATATTGTGTCCCAAACTTATCGTGGTAAATTGATACTGAAGAAGTTCTCACTCATGTTAAAACTGCTATCTGGTAGTTATGGCTGTCATAATAAACGATCACTTATGCTTTATATAGTGATATAGGAGTGATGATGAACCCACCTTCTTCATGAGCTAATTAAGCCTAATACAGTCCTTAACAATTTGAGCTCAATTTTGATGAAAGTCATATATAACAGATAGTAGTTTTGTTTCATGCAAATAGTCAAAATGGGTGAATTAAATAAAAAAAGTAGGGTTATTCAAATTTTATATACAAGTACAACTTATAAAGTTATAAGGACAATTTCTTTTTGCAATCGCATGAGTTTCACAAAAGTCTTGTAAGTGTTTCAAGTAGAAAAATAATTAGCTTTAAAATCTGGCCTAAACTAAGCATTTTGTTTGGGTCCAAATCGAGATGTGAATTTTGAGCTTGCCATTCTCAGCTAAGCTCAGCTCCTTATTACCACAAACTTGGGAAATGAGAACTGGTAACTCATGGAGGCATGCTAATTTTTGTGAGCACTGTTTGCAAAGTCATCTATAAAATTATAGGAGGCTTATTTTATAACTCATGGCTATGGGGAACTGTAGTGTAATGTGACATGGAATTCTATAGTTAGGGAATAGATGATTTAATCGTATTGACCTTTAACAAACTGCTTCTTATAACAGGATGCCATAATGCCTCTATCTACAGCAGCAATGGCTCTCCCTCCTTTGTCTATAAGAGGTGATCTGGGTGTCATTTCAACTGCTGGAGCTAGATATGCTCCTTCTTTATTGAAGTCTTTTGCTGCAATGGGACCTCAAGGAGCTTTAGGTGCAACAAAGCTTCTCCGACCTTTTTCTGAAATAGTTGATTCCCTGGGACTAAAAGATCCTTTTGTACGGAACTGGGTGGATCTTCTGGCTTTCCTTCTGGCTGGTGTCAAATCTAATGGTATTCTCTCAGCAGAGATGGTAACTATTACCCCTTTGTGACCAGCTCACATCTTTAGTTGCATGAAATATTATAAAATTATTCTCGTTTCTCACAATATAATGGATGTTAGTAGAATACTTTGGTTGCATTTTTTAAATTTGGCATTGGCAGTATAAAAAATGAAGACCAAAAATCTGTCTTTGTACTACTTTTCTGAATAACAGCAAATTTGATGTGCTGAGAACTTGAGATTAACTCAGTAAGGTACTGGAAAAGTTATATTCTGCCTTTTCTTGTATTTAAGACAATTACTGAACCAAAAAAATGAGCAATAACAGTCTGGAAAGTGCCAAGAGCATAGTCTCCTGTGTTTCTAATTTACAGTCGAAGATGACTGGCCTAGTAAGATATCTAATTCCTGTGGATTGAGTACTGAATTGCTTATTGTCTTAGAGACACGACTCTAACAATTTTTACATTGGAATTGTATAATACGAAGTACATTGATCTTCTTAGGTTAATTAAGTGCTTGCATTGTGAAGATTTTGTGACAAATAGTCCTTTGATAATTAAGTGCTTACATTGTGAAGATGTTGTGACAAATAATCCTTTAATAATTAAGTGCTTGCATGTTCACCTATTTAAATCCTTTAATAAATAAGTGCTTGCATTGTGAAGATGTTGTGACAAATAATCAGTCACTTTATCTGTTCCTTTTCTGCAGATTTACATGTTTGCTGAGTGGTACAAGCCAGGATGTGTTCTTGAGTACCCCTTACATGGAAGTGGAGCAATTGTTGAGGCCTTGGTTAGAGGAATTCAAAAGTTTGGTGGAAGGATCTCCCTTCGATCTCATGTTGAGAAAATTGTTGTTGAAAATGGAAGAGCAGTTGGTGTTAAACTCAGAAGCGGTCAAGTAAGTGGATAAAGAGAACGAGATGGCAGATAGATACATCTGCTGTGTAGAATCTTATGTTTATTCTGCTCTCCCACAGTTTATACGCGCAAAGAAGGCAGTTGTCAGTAATGCATCAATGTGGGACACCGTGAATCTGTTACCGGAAGAATCTGTACCTAAGACATTTCAAGAGAGAGTTAATTCAACCCCACAATGTGAATCTTTTATGCATCTTCATTTGGGTTTGAATGCAGAGGTGAGTTATCTTCAGTTTTCTAGTCTGCTTATTTCTGGTTGGCTTTATGTTGTGCCAAAATTCTGTTCACGTTGTTGCTCTTCAGTTTTTGTGATAATGTTGTGTTTAATATGCATGTTTCTGCAATTTTCTCTTCCTGTGATCCTGTCATCTTCCATCATACTTGTCTCTTAGCATGATTTTTACAGAATGTTTGTACCATTACTTAAGGCTTGAGCTTTCAGGGTTTACGTGAAGACCTTGGTATTCATCATATTGTTGTGAATGATTGGAAGAGAGGAGTTGATGCAGATCAGAATGTTGTTTTGATATCAGTTCCCAGTGTTTTGAGTCCAGATTTAGCACCTCCTGGTAAGCATGTACTACATGCATACACACCAGGAACAGAACCTTTTGAAATATGGGAAGGGCTTGATCGTAGAAGTGATGAATACAAAAAACTCAAAGCAGAAAGAGCCGAGGTGAATCTCCTAATTCTCGTTGTTCATCTTTCCTTTTTTTTTGTTGGTCACAAAATATTTTGCTGTCTTGGCTGTGTTTCCCTCACTAGGCTATGAATAACTATAGAATTCAACAACCCATTATAAGTTGCTTTTCTTGTTCATGCACTAGTTTGCAAATTCTATCCCCTCTCAATCCGGAAAGAAAATTATGCAGCCACTCTCTCGTCTCTATCCTATAGCACCCTGATATTTTGAGGTTGATATGGTATGTGCGGATTTGGTTGACAGGCAAGCAAATGGTATTCACTGCCTAGTTATAGTCATGTTTAAAATTTTCCTACATTTACTCAGCACTTGATGAAAAAGATCATTTGTGAACACACACAGGTAATGTGGAGAGCAGTAGAGCGAGCACTTGGTCCAGGTTTCAACAGGGATAAATGTGAAGTAAAGATGATTGGTACACCATTAACACATCAAAGGTTTCTTCGAAGAAATAGGGGAACGTATGGTCCAGCAATTGAAGCTGGCAAAGGCACTTTTCCTGGGCATGCAACTTCTATTCCACAACTATACTGCTGTGGAGATTCTACATTTCCAGGCATTGGTGTTCCTGCTGTTGCTGCAAGTGGAGCCATTGTTGCTAATTCCCTCGTTTCTGTATCTCAACACTCTCAGCTTCTTGATGCGATTGGCATCTAATATTATTAATCGAATACGTGTTTACTGTTTTAGCTGGTGTATAAATCTATTCCTCATTGCATACTAAAATTTTCAGCATTCTGGATTGATTTAACAAATCCTGTATACAAAATGCATAATTCTATTTTTTAGACTCTGAATTGAGATGTAAATGATCAGCTTCTTTTGAAAAACTTCATCCTACATAGTCAGCAAATGATCTAGTGCAACACAAACAAGTTCATTCATAAGACTCATAACTCATACATTTTAAAAATAAAAAAATACAGCAAAAATGAATTTTGAAATTGATTGTATCACATTGGTCAAATTTTTTACCATAGCATACAACTAGAACATATATCTATGACAAAATGGTAACTTTTTAAAATATAAGCTAGTCCGAATAAGATGTTGGAGGTTCAAAATTCTAAATAACCTACAAAGTACGTAAGCTACATCAACATTTACATTTATGCACCATCCTTGACAAAAAGAACAAGAAATTAAATTCGATTTCCATATCTTAGATATGATGATTTTTACCTCAATGTGTATCAGTGTATTTGAGGTAACGATGTTCATATTTCAACCAGAAATAAATTAATATGAAAGTTGTTGAATTAACTTTGTCATCAATTTCATTTTCATCTTGAATATAGCAAGAGTTCTTGAAGAGAGAACGAGCTAGACTTAAAGTTAAAGCAGTAGTTGGGACTAAACCAATGACATTGAATTTGAAACAATCAATTTACTTTGTTGTTTATTTGGAAATTTGAACTAACACTTTCATCAGTTGGAACCTTCTTTTAGAGTAGGCCACTTACCAAAATTAATTATGAATTCCCCTAAATTAGAAAAAATTGTAAGATGACTTGATTATGGTAAATGAAGAAGAGTTTTGATCCAGGTGACTTCAATAAATATCTAGTATTAATATATTAACATGCACTTAATCTAGAATGAACTACTCTTATCGTTTAAAGCTGATTTGACCTACTCGACACGTATGATATTTATTAGGAATATACGAGTACATGCACAATTATAAGGGTGTTTTTTTTTTTATAACTTTTGCATGTAAAATATGTTTTCTTAAAAAAATAATGGTCAAAATTAAATTTCACAAAAGTAACCTAAACAATTATAAGCAATGATATTTACATTATTTACTTCAAAAAAAAATAGTAGATCTATAAACATACATGTTCAGGTTTCAGGCACAATCCTTAAGGTGCATCATTAATAATTATCTCTCTGAATACTATTTACTTGAACTATATACATTGACTTCGGATTTTAAATTTCGTTTAGCTTATTATTTTTCATCAACTTAGGGTATGTTCTGATTTACTAAGGTGAGCTGAATTGATTGGAGTTGAACTTAACTGAATAGAGCTGAAATGAATATTTTATGAGAAAAGGGAAATTAGGAAATGAATTGAACTAATTGAAGCTGAGCTGAACTGAACAAAAATTAAGCTGAAGAAAACACACCCTTAATCTACTTAATCTAGACTTATAAAAGTTATGAATTTCCATATCCCTCTTTAGAGTTGTTAATACGGGTAAACGGATCGGGTTTGGGTCAGGTAAAAGTGGGTCGGGTCAACTCGGGTCGGGTCAATTCGGATTAATTCCATAAGTTATGCGGGTTGGATTTGGGTTGGGTCATGCTTGAGTCGGGTCACGTCGGATCATACTTCTTATCAAGTTTGGGTTGGGTTTAGGCCGGGTTAATAACAGGTCGGGTTACATTCGGGTCGGGTGAACAATAGGTCGGGTTTAATTCGGGTTTTTACAGGTTAAAACGGGTTAGGGTAATTCTCGGGTTCGAGTCAAGTCAATAAATTGCGGGTTAGAATCAGGTTGGGTCATTCTCAGGTTTGAGTCGGGTTCGGTTCAAGTCAATAATTTGCGGATTATAATCAGGTCGGGTCATTTTCAAGTCGGGTTCGGTTCAAGTCAATAATTTGCGCGTTATAATCAATCAGGTTGGGACATTTCCAAGTCAGGTCATTCTCGGATTAATTCGAGTTGTGTTCAAGTCAATAATTTGCAGGTTACAATCATGTCGGGTCATTTCTAAGTCAAGTCATATTCGGGTTCAACTAACTATAAATAGATAATTATCATTTTTATCAAGCTAATTATTTCCTTTGACTATAATATATATGACAATATACTAGGGAACTATAGTCTATAATTTAGGAAAATTATTATCTCCTTTGACCATACAACAAATATATACTATATTTAACTCTTAAATTTGAGGATGATGCTCCTTTCTTTTGCTGGCCTGGACCGTCTTGGTCTCCCTTGACAAAATGCTTTGATCAACAAGAATAAGGTGGTCTAAATTGCATTTAAGGTGATTTGAAATCGGGTCAAGAACAAATTGGGTTGAATTTAGGTCGGGTCAATAACAAGTCGCGTTAATTTCGAGTCGGGTTAGTAACAAATCGGGTTGAATTTTTGGGTCGGGTAAGTAATAGGTCTGGTAAAACTTGGGTCGGATCAATAACAAGTCGGGTTGATTTGGGTCGGGTCAATAACAAGTCGGGTTGATTTCGGGTCAGGTTTGTAACAGGTTGTGTTAAATTCGGGTTGGGTTAGGAACGGGGCAGGCTGAATTCAGGTCAGGTTAGTAACAAGTCGGGTTAAAACGGGTTAGGGTCAATTTCGGTTCAATTCGGGTTTGGTGCAAGTTAATTAAATTGGCCACTGTAAATCGGTAAATCGGTGCAAGTTGTAAACTGGTAAATTGGCCGTTTAACAGCAAATTGCATGGTTCCACACACTCAATTGGACTAATGTAGGGTATTAATTACCATGGTAAAAATTTTGGCGATTTTTATTTTCGAACAAAAAAAAGTCGAAAAATTCCAAAATTATAAAGACTAATATCCACGTTTTTTTAAGAAATTTTGAAGGTTTCGGGGCCCGGTGTCGAAAAGCCTTGAAATTTTAGGGGATACATCTCAAGGTCATATAATTCCGTTTGGAACCATATATAATCATTATATGTTGTCATAAATGTTCATGGTAGGCTTGAGTTAATGAAATCGGTGTAAGTTGTAAACCGGTAAATTGGTCGTTTAAAGGCAAATTGGATGGTTCCACCCACCCAATGGGACTCCCGGAAGGTATTAGGGATAATGGTAAACATTTCTGCAATTTTTATTTCCGGGCAAAAAAAGTCAAAAATTACAAAATTGAATGCTAATATCCATGCTTTTTGAGAAATTTTGGAGGATTCGAGGCCCGGTGTCGAAAAGTCTTGAAATTCAAGATGATACTTCTCGAGGTCATATAATGTCGTTTGGAGCCATTTATGATCATTATATGTTGTCATAAATGTTCGTGGTAGGCTTGATTTAATGAAATAAGTGCAAGTTGTAAACTGGTAAATTGGCCGTTTAAAGACAAATTGGATGGTTCCACCCAGCCAATTGGACTCCCATAGGGTATTAGGGACCATGGTAAAAGTTTCGGCAATTTTTATTTCCGGGCGAAAAAAAAGTTAAAAAATTCTAAATTAAAGTCTTTATATACACGCTTTTTGAGAAATTTTAGAGGTTATGGGGCACGGTGACGAAAAGAATTGAGATTTTAGGGCATACATCCCCGGGTCATATCATAACGTTTAGAACCATATATGATCATTATATGTTGTCATAAATGTTCGCGGTAGGCTTGATTTAATGAAATCGGTGCCAGTAGTAAACCGGTAAATTGGCCGTTTAAAGGCAAATTGGATGGTTCTACCCACCAATTGGACTACCGCAGGGTATTAAGGACCATAGTAAACATTTCGAAAATTTTTAATTTTGGGCGAAAAAAAGTCAAAATTTTCCAAAATTGAAGATTAATGTCCACGCTTTTTTAGAAATTTTGCAGGTTTGGGGCCCGGTGTCGAAAGGTTTTGAAATTTAGGGAAATACATATGGGGTCATATAATGCCATTTGGAACCATATATAGGGAAATACATATGTTGTCATAGGTGTTCGTGGTATGCTTGAGTTAATAAAATCGATGAAAGTTGTAAACCGGTAAATTGGCTGTTTAAAGGCAAATTGGATGGTTCCATCCACCCAGTTGGACTCCCGGAGGGTATTAGTGACCATGGTAAACATTTCGGAAATTTTTATTTTCAAGCGAAAAAAGTCAAAAATTCCAAAATTAAAGGCTAAAATCCACGCTTTTTGAGAAATTTTGGAGATTTTGAGAACCGGTGTCAAAAAGCTTCAAAAAATTAAGGGATACATCTTGAGGTCATATAATGTCGTTTGAATCATATATAATCATTATATGTTGTCACAAATTTGGCTTCAGTTAATCAAATTGGTGCAAGTTGTAAACCGGTAAATTGGTTGTTTAAAGGTAAATTGGATGGTTCCACCCACCCAATTGGACTCACGGAGAGTATTAGGGACCATGATAAACATTTCAGGAGTTTTTGTTTTCGTGCTAAAAAATTCAAAAAAAAATCCAAAATTGAAGGTTAAGATCCACGTTTTTGAGAAATTTTGCAGGTTTTGAGGCCCGTTGTCGAAAAGCTTTTAAATTTTATGGGATACATCTGGGGGTCATATAAAGCCGTTTGGAACCATTTATGATCATTATATGTTGTCATAAATGTTCGTGGTAGGCTTGATTTAATGAAATCGGTGCAAGTTGTAAACTGGTAAATTGGTCGTTTTTAAAGGAAAATTGGATATTTCAACCCACCCAATTGGACACCGGAGGGTATCGAGAACCATAGTAAAAATTTCGGCAATTTTTATTTGTGGGCGAAAAAAAGTCAAAAAGTTCAAAAATCTACGCTTTTTGAGATATTTTGGAGGTTTCAACTCATGGTGTCGAAAAGCCTTGAGATTTTAAGGAATACATCTTGGGGTCATATAATGCCGTTTGGAACCATTTATGATCATTATAAGTTGTCATAAATGTTCGTGGTAGGCTTGATTTAATGAAATCTGTGCAATTTGTAAACCGGTAATTGGTCGTTTAAAGGCAAATTGGATATTTCAACCCACCAAATTGGACACCCGGAGAGTATCAGGAAGCATGGTAAAAATTTCGGCAATTTTTATTTGCGGGACAAAAAAAGTCAAAAAGTTCAAAAATCGAAGACTTATATCTACGTTTTTTGAGAAA